TCTGAATGTGAGTGTTATGTAGGAAAGGGGTGCGGCTTTGCTCCTCTCCCGTGTAAAGGTGACGCTTTCCACGTGGTAGGCACGCAGACGTGGTTCTGAGCGAATAGTTGCTGCAAGTGTCTGAAAAGAGCAAGAAAGCAAGTAACCCTGCCCCGTGTGAGGATCGAACTCACGACCTTCAGATTATGAGTCTGATGCGCTACCTACGACGCCAACGAGACCAGTGATCCAAGTTGTTCACCTGATAGCTTGTTCAATCACGTCCTGAAAACTCATCACCACTGTGACTTTTCACTGTGAAGATTTATTCTTTAAGCATCCAGTAAATAAAAGCGATTCTTAATATATCTCCAGCAGGTGGCGCCAGAGCCCACTTGAAAAGGGAGTATGAGCCTCGTTTGAAATCGTTGAAGTGTGCATTTAATGTCCTGTGCCTCATTAAAGGTGCTGCATTCAGCTGTCCTTGTTCTAGAGCTTCCTTGCTGAGACATTCAGTCGCTGCCACCCAGGTCAGAGGTGTGTGACATGCCTGACTGGGCCTCTGGAACAGGGGATAAAATGGACAGTGCATCGTTACACCTGGCCATCTGTCCACAAACAGGTGATCAAGAAGCCCTGAACAGTCCATCCAGGGTGTACCCTGCCTGGCGCTGTTCTAGTACAATCCCTGGCTCACACACAATCCTGTACTAGATAAACCCGTTAGAAAACGGATGGGTGCAGAAGGAAGTTGCAATTTCAAATATCACAATATTTTCCATGGAGCAAATAAAGAATACATACCTCATTCTGTCGATTCACTGGGGATCTTTAAGACTACAGCTGGACGAGACATTTGAACTCAGGAACTGGTTAACAACCTAACCTAAGCAGGATGGGTGTGTTGATCTCCTATCATGTGAACATCTCAAATGTTTCACAGCGGTAAAGACGTCACCGAGGATATGGTGCCGAGATTTGCTGAACATACCACGTGAAGGATTTCATTACTTTAAAAAGGGTATAAAAGGGATCAACAAGATGCTTCCCGGTAACAAGACTGTATGTTCACTAAAACACGCTGGACCATCCAGAGCAGCCGCTCAAGAATGTCCAGGATCCAGGTGTTGGGAGAACAGGAGCAATCTTTGCATACCAAAACCAAAGAGCTGATTGTTGACTTCAGAAGAC